GCAAAAAGAAAAGAAAAAGAAGAAAGTTTTTAATGACCATGTTGCGACTGTTAATTATAAAATCTTAGCTTTAGTTTGACGTTTCAAAAGTGCCTTATTAAGTATTAATTGAAATAAAAAAAAAATACTTTGACTTTTAAAATATTTATATGGTTTTTCGATTTTGAACTTCTCCACAATTGAGCTCCACAGGTTACAAATAAGCTCATGGATTTTACCAGTTATCTCAATCTTGATTTTAGGTAATTCCATAATGTAAGGACTACAGAATATTTAAAATCAAACCAAAGTCTTCCATAATAGGGTTGATAAGTAATTTTTATTTTAATGTCCGCCTGGTAGACTATTTTCAATCATTAGACACATAATAATTATTTTTTTATAGAAACGAATACTTTCGACGATATATTGAATTGAAATGTCGCGTGACGTCACTTCTATGTACATTTTATACGTAGAAATGACGTTTTAGCCCCCACTCCTAAACTTTGATTCGTTATAATCTAAGTATCATTTTATTATACAACAAAATAAAAAATTACGTGTCTAATATTTTTTCATTACTTAACTGACGGACTAATTACATTTTTAATTTCCATACCCTGTCATCATCCCAATTACAAGCCAAACTTATAATCACTGGACAAAGGAGAACACAAATGAAACAAAATAGTTTTTGTACAAAAAATCGCAATGTAAACAAAAACAAAATTCGTGAATGAACGACAGACCGAATGAGTGAGCGATTCACGCGCTTGACAGGAACGGAATGAAAGGAATGGAATGGGTATGCGGACATGCGTGTAATAGTGGTTCTATTTTTAGAGGGGGGAACGTGGCGCCACTCTAGTGGTGCTCTGATTAGAATAGCTACTTGAATGACAATTTGCAACGCGTTGTTCTGTTCCGAAATTTGATTGTTTCCCAAATTGTGTGGAGATTCATTCAACTTGTATTACATTATTATTGATGATTACAAATTACTACTGCCTCGTTGGCCGAGTGGTTGCAAGTGCGACTGCCGAGCAAGTGGTCTCGGATTCGATTCCCGGTCGGGCAACGAGATTTCTATGGGAATATCATCATATTCATTTTGAATATCATCATATTCATTGGGAATATCATCATATTCATTGGGAATATCATCATATTCATTGGGAATATGATGATATTCCCATAGAAATGTCGTCTTGCAGCCTTTCGACAGAAAAAACAAAAAAAAAATTAAAAAAACCGTGTGTAACACAGAAACAATTAATACAAAAATTACTGAAACTTAACACATTCGTGGACAATAAAAGCGTCTAGATTAAATGTTATTTATTTATATCTTGTTTTTATTCATTTTTAATTACTGTGTTGTTATACTCTGTCGTTTCTTTGTTTTTTTTTCTATATCTATATAAATATGTGTGTATTTATTTATTAATTTATTTTTTAATTTTGTATTTATTTTTTTGTATCTGTGTGCGTGCCTTCTGTCGAATAAATGCTGTTCTTTCTTTCTAGATAGCTAAAACATATCATTTCTTACTTTTAAGCAATCAGTTCGCAAATTTACTAAATTTTCGTGCAATATTTCATTAGGATCGGTAGCTACAACTTCATGTATGTACATAATGAAAGTGACAAAGATTGTCTATATTATGACATTTCTAAATGTAAACAAACAAAAAATAAACAGAAAAAGACGATCAAAGCTTAGGTACTACCCCTAAGTACTTTGGACTCCAACGCAAAAACGTCCCCAGTTGAAAATGTTGGAACGAAATAATTGGAATTCTTAACAATTTGACGAAACGTAAACATTTAATGTTATTTATTTAGCGCAAACATTTCGACTCTAGTTAAGTTCGAGTTTTCAGCATTCCTCTTAAATAGTTGACCCTTTGGAGAAAATATTTTATCAACGCTACTGAATAGGGGGTGAATAGAATAAGCAATTTGTATCTTTGTCTAATTTAATTGAGGTGTAACAAGTAACTAGACTTATACATATGATTTTGGGGTTTATTTCTGGTTTTGGAAACTGATCTATATATCCAAGCGGTCACCGGTAACTACTCTGCACTACCTACCTTATCTTTCACGTAATGTAAGCTATCATAAACTTAACGAGATCTGCTGAAAAGGGCTTTAGACAAACGAGCAAGGCAATTGTCACATTAGATTCGCAACTTAACTGTCACTAAAATCCCGCCGTTCACTTTCCGCAGTTATGCAGAATTGGGAAGAGAATGTCTGATAGGCTATACCTATACTTTGATATATTTTATACAGATATTTAAAGCTGAACATGTTGTTTGTATGAACCCTCTCATCTCCGAAACTATCAATGGTTCAAATTAGATAATTATTTTATTGTTGAATAGTTGATTTATCAAGGCTATAAGCCATATAACATAACGCTACGATTGACAGGAGCCGGGCAGCGAGTGAAGCTATTTTTTCTTATTTGTTTTATAACATTAAACTGTGAATTTGGTTGTTTGAACGGGCTTATTCCCGAAACTACGGTTTGGATTTAATAATTATTTTTGTGTTGAATATTTCATTTATCGAGGAAGCCTATAGGCTATAAGACAACTAGACCCGAGCGTACGATGCGTCGCGTCTGCGTGCGCCTTAAAGAGCCATCAGACCACCACAGGTGAGGCCCAATAGAGCTTATGCCGATACGGACCCGCGGAGGACTTAACGGGTTGCCGGGGCTCCGGTTCGAAGTGTAGGAGTAGGAACGGGGTGGTTTTTAGTCAGTAAGAATCTGACACTCCCTCCCACCTCGCCCAGGCGGAGGAAGTCAATCGATGATTTTCTCCCCTTCAAAAAAAACACCACGCTAGCGGATAAAACCGCGGGAGTAGCTAGAACGATATAAAATGCCAAGTTTAAGATTGTGCAGAGTAGGAAAGACAGTATCTCCGATAGTTTGAACTATAAAATTATCGTTACATGTGGCTATGGGTCCATTTTGATAGTCACTGTGGGTTTTAGGAGCAGTTTATGTGTCTTTTAAGTCAGAGATAGCGTTTTCAGTTCCTATGTGGTTACTTTTTAGAGAAATCTAAGGAGTTATGAGTTGGTTAAAATATCTTTTTTGTGAAATTTTCGTTGAGGTTAAGAAGTCCGCTTCTTATGCATGAATGTGAGGGTTCGAAAGTTGACAAGTGAGATTTTCCGAGTTACCTATATTTCTGAAATTATTTAGACATACGGTGAAGGAAAACGACACGTTAGGAAACCTAAACTTACAATTTTTTATTATACATTTAAAACCTCAAATCGTCCTTGAGCAAACGTGGTAATTAATACTCACTCCTTTTATTTGTAGCAAGAGGCTCAGCAGTGGATATACTAGTAAAGGATAATTTGGCCAAACTCGTACAGCGCATTTTTATGGGATACTAGCTACTTCCGCTTCTGCTCAGCTCCTATTGATCGTAGCGTGATGTTTTATAGCCTATAGCCATCCTCGATAAATGCACTATCCAACACAAAAAGAATTATTCAAATCAGACTTGTGGTTACGGAGATTAGCGCGTTCAAACAAAGAAACAAAAAACCAAACTCTTCCGCTTTATCTATATATATAAAAGAAAGTCGTGTTAGTTACACCACTTATAACTCAAGAACGGTAGAATAGATTTGGCTGAAAATTGGTAGGGAGGTAGCTTAGAGCCAGGAGACCGACATAGGATACTTTTTGACCAACATTTTTTTTTTACTTTTTACCAAAAATCACGAACGGGGACGGGAAACAATGGAATTATGCGTACGAAGTCGCGGGCAGTCGCGGCTAATATAAGATAAATGAACAAACTAGTAAACGAGTAGACTAGACGGATCACTGAAAGACAACGCAAGCGTTGTGTCACGTCAGTTTTCTGTGAGGCCGTGGTATCACTTCAGTCAAGTCGGCGTATTCGTGCCGAATCATGTCTCTCCCACATTAAAATACTTCTAAATATACATATATCACCATTTAAACACCACAAAAAATTAAAACACCGTAACACACACCCATTAAAACAAAATCCCCTAACTAACTCCCAGAATCTTATAAAAGACACAATTTGCGTCACATTATAGTCCTTATTTCACTCGTAATAGGGTATTAAATGCCGTGAAATATATACTCAGCTGAAACCGTAAGCATTTATGAGATTGCCTATTAAAATAAACGTTATACCTCTACTGTGTTACATCCCTAAGACATCCCGAATCCCGAATATCCCGAATTTCCTGATTTGGGGTTTAATCCTTATTCCCATTTCGGGTTGAAATTCTTTGCGGGTTTCCGACTTTAAGATGAGGGATAAAGGATTATAATGAGATTAAATCATCTTTTAATTTATTTTGAAATGGGCACATTGTATTGAAATAGGGACATTTTGTCAAAGTGACTGCTTCGTTCATGGAGTGCCGTCTTTGGTGCACCGGGTCTGGGATTCGTTTTTCGAGTAATTTTCAGTTTTATTGGGTTTTATTCATTTTTGCCCTCAAAAGCTAACTGGACTGTCTATGTCGTTGAAGAAGTAAAACACTACATTTTATGAACAAACAAACAATGACAACAGATGTGAATATTTCAAAGATCTATGTCGCCATTAAAATATTATCTGATTTTTCAATAACATAATTTAAGTATTGTTAATACAACTATTATATATTTTTAATGCATTAAAGGTAACGTAGAATTTTCTAAAAATAACGAATAGACGAACATAAATAATTCATTAATCCTAATACATAAAACAAAGTCCCAAGTTCATTTATAACTCAAGAACCGATCTTCAATTTGTGAGATTGGCGTCCATTGTAAATGGCAGAATAACATAACATCACGCTTTTTATCCCCAAAGTGGTAGGCAGAGGTGCACATTATCTACGGCACTGTAGTTACATCTCACTAGCCGTCCGTGGGTCGTGTTTCTAGGGTCTAGGATAATATCGATACCTCAAGTATCTAGGATACCTCAAGAGCCATCAGACCACCATAGATGGGGCCCTGTAGGGCGGATGCCCGATACGCAGCCGCAGAAGGCCTAAAGGGTTGCCGGGGCTCCAGCTCGAAGTGCAGGAGTAAGAACGGGGTAGTTTTTAATCAGTAAGAGTCTGACACTCCCTCTCGCCAACCCAAGGCGGGAGAAGGCATACGATGATTTTCCCCCCTTTTAAAAAAAAGGTTCTAGGATAATGAAATCAAATCAAATGATATTTATTTCTGCAAATAGGTTACGAAGGAACACTTTTACTCGTCAATCTTTAAATTAATAGACGTGGGCCGCCATTTTCTAATTGACTAGTACTCTGAGAAGAGTATTGTTTTAAAGACCGCTTAAAATGTTCTCGATTCTATCCCTGCCTATATAAATAACTAAATTCGCTACACATTTCATCTTCACGCTATAACCATTACCCACCTTTACCCACCCTCTTCGGGTGAACCGGTGAACGAACTCCAAACACCTTCAGTACAGAATTATCTCTAATTAATTCCATTGATATATCTCATCACAATCTCGTAAGCAATTTAGGAGAAACGTGCTAATAAACGCACATATACATTGTTATTTTATTGCTAGTTGGGGTTAAGATTAGAGATATGATTGTAAGGAGAGGGTTAAGGGGTACTTATGATACGTGACTTGGTATCCAATAAGAAATTAAGACCATGTCTTATGTAAGTAAAGGAACAATGCCCATTTCCACCAACCTGTCTTAATTTAAAGGAACCCCAAAGCCGACATAGTTGCTACTTAACATCATTTTGCTTTACAACAACTGATAAGTGACACCTTAACGGTTTAGGTTAGGGGTTAGTTTAGGTGTTCCCTCACGCTAAATAACACTTAGTTAAGAGATAGTTTGTAAAGACGGCAGAATAGTATATATCTATCACCAGCCCTACTCTTCATGCGGGCGTCATAAAAGACTACAGGACATTTGACATAGACCAAACAACAGCGCGCTCTGATTAACCTGAACTTTTTAAACTGCAATTTCCGACCCACCTGCCTTCAACGGAAATTATCGTAAACTCTATCATGTAGAGGACTCCTAGTCTTTCTTTTTTTTGTGGACGGAAAATCATTCAGTGACCTCCCGCCCTGGGTGAGGCGAGAAGGAGTGTCAGACTCTTGCTGACTAAAAACCACCCCGTTCCTACTTCTGCACTTCGAGCTGGAGCCCGGCAACCCGTTAGGTACTCCGCGACTCCGTATAGGCATCAGCCCTATTGGGCCCCATCCGTGGTGATGTAATGGCTCTTTGAGGCGCGCAACGCGCCGTACGCTCGGGTCTGAGACTCATAGTCAAGTCTAGCAGTGGACTGTCATATTGATATTGATTGAGATGAGTTATGGATGAGTTTTAGACAATATTTATTTTAGTTAAAAGATAATAGACGACGCGGTGACGGTCGCAGGTAGCATGGCTTGAAACTAATCGAGTTCCTCGTCAAATAATTACGTGAGTAAGCCGAAAACATAATAATTTATTTAGTATGTCTCCAGAAAGTTATAATACAGATAATAGACTGTCACAAAATGTATATATTCTACATTGCAATCACCACACGTCTGAACTAATTCAAGCTACCCTCTCTTTGAAGGTATATTCTTATTCAGCTAACAAGGCAATTGAACTCAAATAAATATTCCTATTTCTTCCTTCTCAGCAAGATCTTATATGCATATATATAAGGTACATATTCATTATAAATAATTATGTGCAAAATATATTGTAAGTCGCAAATTTCTTTACACAAAACGGAACTTTATGTATTTTTATATAAGGTAAATATTTAAGTATATAAAGCCTGGAGTGATCCACATGGCAGGTAATGATATAAGTAGGAAGTACGATGGCTGTGTAGTGATGTGTTCCCTGAATAGCGGCGAGACGTTTGATGTTCTACCGACTAGTGATGGGAAAGGGTTGAAGTAAAATTACGGACTTTTTTATTGTATTTTCAGTGGATAACTGAATTAAAAATTGACATATAAATTATTGTTTAATTGAAATAAATGCTTTGACTTTTGACTTTGGTTTAAAATAATAATAATTGTCTATTAGAAATTAATTTTCATGTAGTATTTTTTTGTTTGCCTCATTGGTCGAGTGGTCGCAAGTGCGACTGCCGGGCAAGGGGTCTCGGGTTCGATTCCCGGGTCGGGCAAAGTATTACTGGGTTTTTAAAAATTCTCAGTAGTAGCACGGAGTCTGGAATTGTGCCCGGTATATGGCAATAGGCTCACCCCCTATTACATGGGACTCATAACATAAATAGTGAAAAGTGGGTGTTACATTGTACAGTGGCATAATGTGCACCACTGCCTACCCCTTCGGGGATAAAAAGGCGTGATGTTATGTTATGTTATTTTTTTGTTTTTCTGTACTACAATGAGGTAACGACAGGAAACTCTTAGGTACATATATCTCATTTTAAAGTGTGTAAAAATACAACACAAAAGATGAAAAGAAATACAATGTTAGTACATTGTATTTCTTTTCATTGTAAGCACGTTGCCCCCCTCTAGAATTATCTCCTGTGTCGTGAGTGCGTTTACAAACATACAATATTTATAAAAGTAACTTGAGATTAAACTAGCCGTGGTTTTTTTCTTCCCAGTAAATCGCAATCACATTACAAACTCCTTTTTATTCATATTATTTTCATTCCTCATACAGTCTTCTTAGCAATAAAAACTGCATATTTCTTCTACATGAAATGCAAGAAACATACATAACATCACGCCTTTTATCCCCGAAGGGGTAGGCAGAGGTGCACATTATGCCATTGTACAATGTAACACCCAAAATCAAAGTCAAAGCATTTATTTCAATTAAACCAAAGTTTTGTACTTTTGAAACGTCAACAAATACAAAATAAATAATAGTCTGTCAATCAGTCAACTTTTTACTATTTATGTTATGAGTCCCATGTAATAAGGGGTGAGCCTATTGCCATATACCGGGCACAATTCCAGACTCCGTGCTACTACTGATAGTTTTTTTTTAAACCCAGTAATACCTTGCCCGACCCGGAAATCGAACCCGAGACACCTTGCCCGGCAGTCGCACTTGCGACCACTCGGCCAACGAGGCTGTCAGGCAGGCAAATACAAGAAACATTCTAGAGATAAAAGCACAATTTGCATTGTACTTTAAAATTAAAAAACGCTATATAAAATGTCTGTTCGTGCATAATACGCATACTAATGTAGCTATAATTTTTATCTTAATATTAATGTGCACTTTCATAGTGCACTGTTTAAATTGAAACTATTATAACTTACTGTCACCTCTTTTAATTTATCTAAGGGGTAGGCAAACGGGCATATATACTACATATATATATAAAGAAATACACCAACTATCCAACCAGACATGTGAATCCCATGTTATATAATAATAGAGCCTTCATTTTATAATAACTATAGTGAGACATGCTGAATTAACTAACAAAAAAATACGAATTACTTTTACTTCAAGTGGGGGTTACGAGTCTCGGGTTCGATTCCCGGGTCGAGCAGAATATTAGTGGGATTAAAAAAAATAGTAACACGGAGTCTGAAAATGTGGCAGTAGACAATCCCGGTATAATCTGGCAATAGGCTCACTCTCTATTACATGGGACACATAATATAAATAGTGAAAAGTGGGTGTTATGATTGTACAGTGGCATCAAGTGCCGTAATGTGCACCTCTGCCTACCCCTTCGGGGATAAAAGGCGTGATGTTATGTGATGTGTCTCGTTTTATCTTTCAAACTTCCACATACCTTATTAAAGACGTAATCTATTAGAGTATCAAGTTATAATTCAGACTTTGTTTTAGATCTTATACGAAATACTTTTTCTACGAATCGAATCAGTGTTTATGAACCCAATTCAACAATTCAATTAATGTAAACCCACAAACAAACATTCATTCATTTAGAAAAATACACCAAACTTAATTTACATATTCACAAAATTACAATCCCGCGTAAAAATAAAACAAAAAATCCCGTAATTACGGCGTTTAATCCCGGCGTGTCCCATCCCTAGCGCGACTGAAACATATCCCGAGGGAGGCGCCCTGAGGTCAACACTAATTTATTCATTGCTCATTTTCAGCTAACTGTCACTGCTCTGCGCTGAAAAATTTGTAACTTCAGTATCTTAACATTCCTAGCGGATTTGAGAATTTATTGTACCTACGATGAAAGAATTTCGCTGAAAATTATCGAATTTTCATGAAATATTTGCTCTGTAGAGATTTAATATTTTGTTGTTTAGGTTTCAGCCCTATATAACTGTATAATTTATTTATTTGTTAACCTCTATTTATGGAATTGGTTTATAAATTAATTATCATTTGATTATTAGTCCGTATGTTATGTAATGAAAAAATATTAGACAAGTATTTTTTTTATTTTGTCGTATATTAAAACAATACTTAGATTCAACGAATCAAAGTTTAGTAGTGGGGGCTAAAACGTCATTTCCACGTATAAAATGTACATAGAAGTGACGTCACGCGACAATTCAAATCAATATATCGTCAAAAGTATTCGTTTCTGTAAGAATATAAAAAATACATGTCTAATGATTTAAACTAATCTACCAGAAGAAAATAAAAATAAAAATTAGACATCTACCCTATTATAAGTATATTAAAAGTATAAATTCTACAATTGAACACCAAATTATACCACACAACCATCCTGAAAACGTCTTTCAGTTAGAGTTCAGAGGTTCCGGTCGATTTCAGACTGGATAACCGTCATTAACATTTGGGGCTTCTACGTGTGCCTGAAACATGTAGAGCCTTCACACGACCTTATAAGGCTGTAATAATCGTTAGGATTACAGTTCTGAAAGCCTGATTACAGGTTTTCAGGTCTAATCAAGAATGTTATATTACTTATATTAAGGTCTAGATAAAATTTTGGTTTTGTATGCGCTACTGTCAGTTGGACTGCCTTATTTGTAAAACTAGCGTCCCGGCCCGGCTTCGCACGGGTGCAATATGCATATATACATACAAATTTTCCTTCAAAATCCCTCTATCTATTAAAAAAACCGCATCAAAATCCGTTGCGTAGTTTTAAAGATCTAAGCATACATAGGGACAGACAGACAGCGGATAGCGACTTTGTTTTATACTATGTGACATTGTGTCCGGTGTGTGGCTATAGGGAGTGTTATCGTGGGGGCTCCGGAGCAGGTCTCTTTCAGAGGATCCGGTGCCCCTTACAGGTGCAAATGCTGGCCACCGGGGTGTTTTTAGTGAGGTACGAATCCCACACTCCCTAGTATTTCTGCCCAAAAAGCTAGGCGCCTTTTGAAGGTCTCCACCCGTCATCAAAAACAAAAGGACCCATTGCTTGGGGCTTTTTTTAACGGGGGAAAATCATCGAATGACTGCTCCCGCCTAGGTGAGGCGGGAGGGAGTGTCAGACTCTTACTGACTAAAAACCACCCCGTTCCTTCTCCTGCATGTCGAGCCGGAGCCCCGGTAACCCGTGAGGTTCTCCGCGACATTACTTGGGACTAGTGAATACAAATCTCGCGAGATTGGCAGTTTTGTATATATTTTCCAAATATGTATTGAATAAATCAGGAAAAAATAGAGAAACACAACAATTACAACGTAAAGTATTAAATAATTACATCAAAAATGTTAACGTTAACTTCAGAAACAGTTTTCAAAACACGATTGTATTACAAAATTAAAGTTATTAATGAATTTTAATATCACAAATCGTTTCCTTGTTTAATTATATAACTTTAAGGGTTAAAATCCTTTGCCATTGAACTGCTAACTTTGTTTTAAACTCTTGTCTTTCTTATTAAATTTCAGTTTATTTTAATTATTCATGGTTTCAGTTGTGTAACTTCTGAAGCCTTGCATTTAAATGTGCTAATATTTTCTTGTGTAACTTGCTGAAAGATTCAAGGCTTTTTTGTAACCTCGTGTCCTTGTAATTCCGCCTTTTAAATCATGACGTTGTTTCCCAGTTATTATTAGTACAGTGTATTTTTTTTATACTTGACTTAACAAACGTAACATCACGCCTGTTATCCCCGAAAGGGTAGGCAGAGGTGCACATTACGGCACTGTACGATGTAGTACCTACTTTTCACTATTTATGTTATGAGTCCCATGTAATAGGGGGTGAAGCCAACTACCATATCCCAGACACATTTTTAGACTCCGTGCTAAATTTGAGAATTTAAAAAAATCCAGTAAAACATTGCCCGACCCGGGAATCGAACCCGAGACCCCTTCCCCGGGAGTCGCACTTGCGACCACTCGGCCAACGAAAGAGAATTGAATCTTGAAATCCGTTTATAATACACTCATTTAATATTATATCTGCAAATAATTCAAAAATGTACCTCCAAGATAACAAACCACCTTACAAAACATCAAAACAAACTTTAAGCATGTTGTTTTAAAATTTAAATTCAAATGTCTGCTTGCTGTAGTAAAAGTTAATTCGGAATCCTGTGAACAGATGAATGCTTAAATAATAACACAGGGTGGTATTATTTCTGCATTCTCTCTACCGAATAAATTCACATTTTTACCTGTGCTGGCTAAACGAAAGATTTCCGAATGCATTTTTCATTTAAAATTCAATTTACGTTTTGAATTTCGTTGGACAATGCAATGTATTTAGCTTTATAATCTTTAGGATTTTGTGACAAAAGAAATGTTAGGTATATATCTGAAATTAGTTCAGGTTGTGGTAGGTGATGGTCAAAACCAAGTTTTATTTTTTTTTAAGTAAGGAATTAAATGCTTCTTTTATGTAAAAAAAGGCTCGTATACCAAACTACAATGCGATGCGATGCGAATTCGCAACGCAAAAAATTATGATGCGAATTGCTGCGATGCGATTTCGTGCGACAAGGCGTCTCCCAGGGTGACCATTCCTTCGACGACCGTCAACCGTACTAAACGTATTTTAAATTAAAAACTAGGTCGTGGAATGGATCGTAAAAAGAAGTGTGCACTTCTGTTATTGCTTAGGAGATACAGGAAAAAGAAACAAATAAGATTATAAGAAGATAAGATTTTGATACGCTGTGCGAATCAATTCGCAAGTTCTTGCGATGCGTAGAGGGAGATCGCACATTTCTGCGATGCGACGTCGCATCTCAGTTTTATGTACGAGCCCTTATGGTTGTAGTAATGTTGCATAAATAACACGTAAACAAAAAAGATTAAAAATGCAAAAACTATTTCTATCAGCGTTTGTCGGGAGTGATACGTTCACCCTATATATCTTTGAACTGCCCACTGACTGACTGACTGACTGCCTCGTTGGCTGAGTGGTCGCAAGTGCGACTGTCGGGCATGGGGTCTCGGGTCTCGATTCCCGGGTCGAGCAAAATATTAATAGGTTTTTAAAAAACTCTCAGTATTAACACAGAGTCCGGTATATGGCAATAGGCTCACCCCCTATAACATGGGACTCATAACATAAATAGTGAAAAATGGGTGTTTCATTGTACAGTGGCATAATGTGCACCTCTGCCTACCGCTTCGGGGATAAAAGGCATGATGTTATGTTATATCTTTGAACCTTCGTTTACGTGTACAAATAATTTGAAGAATTAATAACGTCTTTGATTTTTTCGATGGAACATGATCATCATCATCTTCTTTCCTTCTTCTTTATCATCACATTAAGGGGTTTGATATATGCTTCACGCTGGGAAGGCTTATAGGTGATCGCATATAAAACTTGGGTGTGGATGACTGTTTTTCATTGATTACCTATTAAGAATTATATTGCAAGTTGCAGAATTAAAGAAGCCGACCCATTCGTGCCGAAGCATGGCACTCCCTCACTTATATGGAAATAAGTGTACTATATTGTATACTGTATACTATGCTGTATAATCTGGAGAGTAGTAGACGAAAAAAGGTTTTATTGTACTGTTACAATATTTAGTAGATAGGTTGTTGTTTAATATTTTTGCACATTAAAGCATTCACATTTGCCCATATTATGAACTGTATTAAAAAACCAATAATAAGTATACCTATTTGATTTTCTATTAATAAAAGTAACTATCAAATATTGGGTGTACTGTACGGTAATCTTTACCTACGCCATTCGTGGATAGAGGACATCAGGACACCTACGTGGTTCTAGTTTCATATAGAAAAGGTATTTTTAGTGTACGCCAAAATCTTTTAAGGAAAACGCTATTAATAAGGTTATTTTGGTAATATTAAAGATACTAATAATATAAATTAATGTTACTAGTTTATTTTAGAAACACCCACAAAAACGTTTAACATTTTGTAGTGCTGCTATTCTACTGACTTGGTTAAAAACTGTCTTCCTTTAATCATCAAATGACTTCTCCCGCCCGGGTGAAGCGACAGGGAGTGTCAGACTCTTACTGACTAAAAACCACCCTATTCCTGCTCCTGCACTTCGAGCCGTAGCCCCGGTAACCTTTACATTCTCCGCGGCTCCGTGTCGGCGACCAGACACTGTCTAACTAAACCTATTAGTCTTCAAAATAATTCTCTATGTATTTAAAACCAATACCCTATTTTCGACAGTGGCACCATCACTGGAACCAACCACAAAACTAAGAAAGAAGAAAGAAAAACCATTTATTTCTGCGCAGATACACATAACATAAACTTAATTAAAAACTACAAAAATAAAATAATAGAAAGCGAAGTTAAACCAAGGTATAATAGAAAATAAAATAACGTATAACTTAAAATACCAAGGCTCAAACAAAATGAAGTCTTGTCCATACTACTTAATCTTTTTTTAAACATCAGGTGCATTTACATATTGGCATACATATTAGACCCATATTCAGAACAACAATAAATGTGGATCATACAAAGAGGTGTTCCATGTGGATATCTATTCCACGGTCGGTTGCAGATATTATACACGTTCCCAGCCACTGCATCAACTACACAGTCATCAAACTATCATAACTAATGATAGACTTCTCTTTGTTTCAGTTTGCTCCACCGTCGGCCTGATTTCGGAAAGAGCTGATCATGACAACCGCCCGCAAAGCAAGCTAAGCTTGTCAAATTATGACATAGAAATACGGAATAAATGGACCAATAATTTAGAAAGAAAGTATATTAACTACATCGAAACTGTAGATGAAGTAAAGACTATTAATAATAATAATAAGAATTACGAAGCAAATGAAATTCAAATGCGAAATTTAGATATTCATAGAAATAATGTTCAGAGAATGAATGCTAATTCTAAGATGAGGAATTTTGATGTTAGTAAAGAAGTGAAAAGAGTAAAGAGGGATGATAAGGATCCTCGATGTGAATCCTTCAATTATGATGACAAGGAGAAGTTTATAACGCATCCCCATCCGAAGAACAGTGGGAATAATTACTATTATAATAATTCTGATTGCGTCACTAAGATTAATGGTGAGTATCAATAAGTAATATTATTATAAGAAGTCGTTTTAAATAAAAATACGTTTCCTTTTTTTCTTTCCTTTTTTACACTTTTATTTAAGGGGGGAAAATTATCGAATGACTGGAGGCAGTGTCAGTCTCTTACTGACTAAAAACCAACCCGTTCTTACTTCGAGCCGGAGCCCCGGTAACCCGTTAGGTTTTCCGCAGCTCCCTATTTACACTAGGATTTTCTCCTGTGTCGTGTGTCGTTAACAAACATACAATTTTACAACCACATGACACCCATACCCAGAACAACAATTGGGTACTTTCCTTAATCAAAAAGATTTTCTTTCGACTGTTCAATACAATAAAATATTAAAAAATAATCACACTTTCGTTCATTGATTTTAGTATTTTTCCAGCATATTTTTAATAAACAAGTTTGACACTAAAAAAAAACGTGACATCACAATATACAATCTTGTACAAAATTCAAAGAAAATTGTCGTTTTTGACAGTTCGAAAAGAATATTGAATTTGACTAATTGGCAAGTACCCAATTTGTGGATCATACAAAGAGTTGTTCCATGGGGGAATCGAGCCTGCTACCCGTTGCACGGCATCCAGTTGCCCAGCCACCGCACTAACCATGCAATTAAGTTTTAATAATGATGAGAACAATATTAATGGATAATTAAAATGAGAAAGACATAACACCTCCGATAGTATTAACTTGGTACTTCCGAGCATTTCACTCGCTCTGCCCAGGTTTCCTCACGATGTTTCTTTCACCGTTTGTCAGTGGTGTCTAAATAATCTTAGAACCGTACCACCAGACGAAGTGCGGGGTGCCACCCTTATATAGTGGACATTCCACCCATTCGCACGAAGCGTTTCGCGTCAAGCTTCCTCATGCGAACCGCTAAAGAATGGGATTCCTTGCCAGAGGCTGTGTTTCCCGTCAAATATGACTGTGGGTGTCTTCAAGTCCCGAGTGAACAGGTTGCTCATAGGTAGGCGTGCTCCATCGTCGGCCACATCATTGCTTACCGTCAGGCGAGATGGTGGTCAAACGTCGACATATAAAGTATAAAAAAATATAGAAAATACATATAACTCGGAAAAAGTCACAGTGGTACTAGCCATTGGTAGGTTTTGAACCCGCAACCTCGTTGCGTGAGAAGCGAGTGTTATAATCCTCCAGGCCACCACGACATATGTATGATGGTTAAGTCTAAACCAACATAAAACGTATGGTCTTTATGGGACTTAATATGTCACTCACCATGGACTACATGTGCTTTAACTGTGACATCGCTAAACCCATGGATCATGGGGTTGTACAGTAAAGGAAAGGAGGGCTTGGTATTTTTAGTATGTTTGGAAACATAGCTGCACATCAAGCTATGCATAACCAGTATAGAGTGAACCTCAAATATGCAGAAAGACCTTATAAAGCGAGTCCAGGATAAATCAGTTTAAATAGCTACAAATCAAACTTGAAATTCCAGTGTAAACTGACCGTCGAGTGTACGAAAGAGTCATATAAAGGGAGACCATAATAAGCTGGTTCATTGTAGCTCGATCAAACATATTTGTACATTTTCCCTTATTTTGTGAAGTGGTAGAGTTGTAAAAACTGTACAGTTTTCTTTGATAGGATAAGCGGGTAAACGAGTAGACGGATCACCTGATGGTAAGCAATCGGCGTCTCCCATGGACACCCGGAACACCAGAGGCATTACAAGTGCGTTACCGGCCTTTTGGGGATTAGAAATTTGAGGATTATTGGAGATTCAGGGATTGGGAAAGGGGAGCGGGTGATTGGTTCTCCAGTAACCTCATTCTCACGAAGAATCATAATCATTGGTTTTCTGCTCGGCCGTGGTATCAATCCGGTCGAGCCGGCCCATTCATGCCGTAGCATAGCTCTCCCACACTTTAGAGAATGAGAAAAGATGGCAGAGTATGACATATATATAGACATTTTATTATGTCATCACCTCTTTTCTTCCTGCGGGTGCAAAAAGAGCTAATACGCTACAACTGCACTTTTAACAGAGACTGGGCCAGCAATACTCTTTGATAAACTTCAAACTCACTCACGCTTAATGTCACAATACCGTAACACTCACGTCTGATGCCACTGGGCAGAACTATAGATGCTCTCCAATCTTTGAATAATACTTCTTTAGCTTCACATGACAATATGATTGTAACTCAATATTTTAGGTATACAGCTACCAGGAAAATTCCATGGATAATTTTTCTATACAATCCGAAAAATAGATCATAATAAAATTCCATAAATATTTTGTTTTATAGCTCTCTTAATAGAGCGATAAATTATGTTATTATTGGCATATAAATAATATGATCTTCATGATGAGGTAACAACATTACCCAAAATAGATATTCAGGGTCTTTTTTTCACAGATTTTTCTACTTAAACCTAACCTAGGGTTGACCCTAAGGTTGACTGGGAGAGAATGCCATATGGAATTAATGTCCAGTTTATTTACCATTACTTGTTTCTGTGTACATTAAAGTTTACATTTATTTATTTATTTTGGTTAACCAACAATTGTTTACACTATATCTTATACATTACTGCTTAATAAACATTAATATAATAAAATAGCTAAAGAAACATTTACAAGTGCAACAATGAATTATAGGTTAACACCACATGCAAAAAATAAAACGGTAAACAAAACATACAAAAAAAACAAGTGATTCCATGGGTGCATATCTATCTCAAAAAGAAAAAAAAATACATTAGGATGTCAATTACGAATTATATAAGTATATTTAGCATTAAGATACTAAAAACACTAGTTAATATACAAAATACTGTTTGTTGATCGTACTTTTGCTTTATGAATTTCTAATCATTAATTTAATGTAGGCGTGCGTCATCGTTGACCACATCATCGCCTACCAGGCAAATAAGTTCCAAACACCAAACATTCTGTTCTTTACTACATCATGATGAAAATAGTGCTAAAAACATGGAAACCAGTGTTTGATTAAGTCCACTTTATATACCCTTTACTTAAACTGTCAAACACCAAGCGGTCACCGGTGACCGCCACCTATTCAAATCAAATCAAATCAAATCAAATCAAATTATTGTATTATTATTATTGTTCTTTAATTGTGTCGATAAATACGGTACTCGACGAGTTAATTGTTTTTTTTTTGTATCTACACTTAATTTTGATTTGAAATGAGACTCTTAAAAAATCTTTCCATTAATATTCTTAATTCCTTCTGTCTAATAATAATGTATGTTTCAGCCACAACAACAGACATGGTAATACAGTTGACATTTGTGGATGTGTTCCGTATAGAATATCATCCGGAGTGTGCATATGACTACCTAGAGGTGAGTAGCTTTAGTTGTTAACATAACATCACGCCTTTTATCCCTGAAGGGGTAAGCATAGGTGCACATTACGGCAATTAATGCCACTGTACAATGTAGCACCCTCTTTTCACTATTTATATTATGAGTCCCATGTAATAGGGGGAGAGTAAATAAAAATAAAGCAAAAACTACTCAGAAGAAAAGATGATTATGAGTTATTGTCATGGTGAGGGGCTACGGAGCAGGTCTCTTCAGAGGACCCGGTGTTACAGGTGCTGAGTAGCCTAGTCTTTCTCCCTGAAAAGCTAGGCGTCTTTTGAAGGTTCCCCCCGTCATCAAAAAGATGGCTAATGTCATGGTGAAACATGATCAATTAGACTTTATAAAATGTATTTTTTAGAAAATTTATCTACCCATTCCTTCAATATCATTATGTTCAGATAAGGTACTAATCTACATTCTGCTTCCTTCAACCAGATTCGAGACGGTTACTATGGTTACGCAGACCTCATGGGCCGGTTTTGCGGCCAAGCCTTTCCAAGAACATTGAAGACGAAAGGACCTAATGTTTGGCTGAAGTTCCATTCAGACGACACAATAGAATATGAAGGATTTAAGATAAACATCGAATTCAAAGATGGACCGAGCCGTGAGTATGATATGTCTGATTTTTCCTTGAATTTGAGTCTTCGTGGTATAGTTTACCATCAAAGAAACCCAAAAAATCTTATTTACACAACAATACTGAAAACACTGATATCCATCCTTACCTACTTAGGTACTTACCTACAGTCATTGTTTATCACTCGGAACAATGCTTTAGTTATTGTTCCGAGGTTTATCCACAGGATTTTTTTATTTGTGACGCCATTATAATAAGTCGGAAACAGCAACACAACTTGTATCGTCATACAACCAACTTTTGTGATATTAATAAGAATTTCAAAATCGAAATGTCCAAGAAGCTTATTTCATTCCATTATATATGTCGTGGTGGTCCGGAGGTTAAGGGTGCGCGGTCGAAACCTACTAATACCAAGTACCAATGTGACTACTTCCTAGTTATGTATATGTACTTTCTACGATTATCTAGACACCACTGACAAACGGTGAAGGAAAACATCGTGAGGAAACCTGGGCTTATAATTTCTAATTATAAGTTTGTAATCGCCAACCCGCATTGAGCAAGCGTGGTGATTAATGCTCAAAGCTTCTCCGTATAAGAGGCTTTGCTCAGCAGTGGGCATTTATGGGCTGTTGATATTGATTCCATTATATCAATACCCTACTACCCCAGTCTGGTCCCAAAAATACCATTCCCATAAGAAACTTCATTTGAACTCAACTTTATTGAAAATATGGTTCATTTTTGTTCTTCTGCCAACAGACCACATACCGGAAGAATGCTACACAACGTTTGACGAAGACAAGTTCGGTGTGATAGACACGAAACAAATTGACCCACTGTGCACCAGTAACTCCAACCAGGCGTTAGACGTGCTCTGGAAGATTGTGGTCCCAGATAACATGAAGGTAAGAATTAGAAATTAGAAAGGTTTATTTATTATAGCTTAGCTAGTTAGAAGAACCTAATGGGTTGCAGGAGCCCCGACTCAATGTAGGTGTAGAAACGGGGTTGTTTATAGTCAGTAATTTTTATCATCGCACCGCTCGCCATCGACAGGCAGTTAACGCTCACACATTGGAGACCAAATGGTCCCGTACAGTTCGGTTTCAGAGGAATTTTCTCCCACGGACCCTCCGATTGTGGATTTCCCAGTCGGCTACAACATGGGGTTCTTCAAGAAGGGAGTGAATAGGTTTGTTAAGGGTTGGCAAGACGCATGTAATGCCCCAAGTGTTGCAGGCGTGCATAGGCCACGGTAACCGCTTACCATCAGGTGGGCCGTGTGCTTTTTTGCTACCGTCGTAGTATAAAAAAAAGAAAAAATAAAGTAAGTGTCTGACACTCCCTCTCGCCTCACCAAAGGCGGGAAAAGTCATGGATGATATTTCCCCCTTAAAAAAAGCTGGTTAGAGAAAATATTGTACCTCTAGTATATAATGAAAACGATTATTGCAGTTTAATTGAAATATAGATGACTGTACTGTGACGAAAGATATGGCAGAAAAAGGAGTTTGTGATAATACGAGCTAAAACAATTTGGAATATGGACAAGAAGAATAAAAAAATAGTGAACCAATTTACACTGCCGAAGAATGAAATTGAAGTCACATTAAGCAACGAAACTTTATAGAGCAGAATGAACTTTGTATCAACTATATAACATTCAAATTAAATCGAGCCAAAAACATAGGACGTATGTACGTCTTTCCCGGAATCCTTGCGCCTAGACGAAAATTTTCTGGTACCGCTGTGGAATCCGCGGGAAATCAATCGTTCTTGTCCATTATAAGATACAAACTCAACACTAGGACATCATCTTATGTCGCGACATGTGTGTGAATATCTGGCGAAATTGTCGCTTCCATTCGGTTCCATTCCGCGGGGGTATTAATTGAGCCTATAAATTAGATGCCGCGCTCACACTATCATATAAATTATGATTAGCATGACCGTGCGAGATTTTGCCTCACCATTTCTTTTCTAATTACCCATATTCTGACAGTTTGAGTATTTGTGCGACCCACGCAAATGTTCTTAAAGTTGGTGTTGTTCGTCGAATCAGTCAGCCTCACCTGCTAATTGAGCTGATTGTAAAGCGACACATGCGTACTGCTTTAAGAACGGGTCCACTCAAACTGTTGTGGGTCTTTACTCAAAAGGCCACTACAGAAAGAACTTGCACGGTTCTCACACATAATCTTTTATACACATTTGTCTGGACTTTAAAAGAGACAGACCTCTGAGTTTGTTTCGGCATTTCTTCTCAGAGTAGTCAGTTAGGAAATGTCGGCCCCATCGTTCGGTTGATAAAATTGACTTGTAAAAGTGCTGCCTTGTAGCCTATTTGCAGAAATAAATTCACTTGTTTCACTTGTACCGCAAAATGGAATGGGTACATGAACTCTTGGGCAGTAACCCGCCAGATATAGCCAGTTAGACCAGTAACAAACCTAAGTAAATTATGAAAAAACAAATAAAGGAAAGATTGAATTTAAATTTTGCTTTCAAAAGGTTTCCAAGTAATTTTGTAATTCTATTTAAAATTAACGTAAAGTTTTCGTAACTGAAACTATGGATAGACTTATTACAGTTGGTTTCGACCTAATTCAAAAATGAAGTTTAGAGTTGATTTAGTTTTCAGAATTGAAATAATATTCTATGTCTAATCTATTGTAATCTTTTAGTTACCTAAATAAACTTGGGTACCTGTTTACTTATCTTATTATTTTATTAATTTTGATATGGCAATAATATCAAACAAAACACCCTTACTCTATCCTACCAATTTTAGATTTTGCTGTGTCTATCACGGTCTGTATAGGGTAGATGCCTAATTTTTATTTTAATGTTTGTCTTGTAAATTATTTTAAATCATTAGACACGTATTTTTTATTTTCTTACAGAAACGAATACTTTCGACGATATATTGATTTGAAATGTCGCGTGACGTCACTTCTATGTACATTTTATACGTAGAAATGACGATTTAGCCCCCACTCCTAAACTTTGATTCATTTTATCTAAGTATTGTTTTATTATGCGACAATATCAAAAAATACGTGTCTAATATTTTTTCATTATCTAACTTACGGACTGATTAGATTTTTAATTTTCATACCCTATCATCATCCCAATTGTTACCATTGTATTTTCTAACCACCTGTATGTGTACATACATTATCGATGCAATAAATACTTGATTACTTATATCCTATCGATTTTATTTCTGTGTAAAGTAAAACGAAATCATGTGTTTTTTAATTTTCTGAATTCCGAATTGGTTTGGATTGTGTACTGTGAAAGCCTTTCTTTCCTTTGCGACTCATACGCAAGGTATTATTTACAAAATTTTCACTTGTCTAATAAGAAGAAATTTTTGCAGCCACCGATCCTTCCATCCGATGATGATGACGATGGTACCCGCCTATTCTTTTTAGAAATAAAGTTCATAAAGTCATAACATATCTCTTTGTTTCAGATTTACCTCAACTTCACACAATACGGCTTGGCCAAACCAAACGAGTGTAATGAGAACATTATTCAAGTGTTTGAGACAGTCCATGAAGAACTAGACTCCAAGTAAGTATTAATGCATAATATCCTCGCTTCGAAAGGAGGTTGGAGACCAAATGAAAAAAAATCAATTCCATCAGAAGATACCGCTGCTCGATCTCTCTTAAATAAGCAGTCTTTTAGGTCTTTAAATAAATGGGGATAATTATTACGTTTTTCAACTTACTCACGTAATTATTTGACGAAGAACTCGACAAGTTTCAAGCCATGCAAGAACCTCATTCATGAGCAACATTGACGTCACCTCACGGGTCGTGGAAATAGTCGAGTTCCTCGTCAAATAACTACGAGACTAAGCCGAAAAACATATTAATTAATTTAGTATGTTTCACGAGAGTTATAATACAAATGAGGGGGAAATAAATATATTTTAATCTGCCATTACATTTTTGGCATAAATCGGCAACCGGGCAGACAGCTCACCTGATGGTCAGCATCCAGCACTGCACATGAATCTGCAACACCATTGCTGGTAATTTACGGATTGAGTTTTTTTTCTCCGGCCGCCATAAGTCCGTCCAGAAACAGATCCGAGCCTACGGCCTCAAAGAGCCATCAGACCACCACGGATGGGGCCCAACAGAGCTGATGCCGATTCGGAGTCGCGGAGAACCTAACGAGTTACCAGGGCTCCGGCTCGACGTGCAGGAGAAGGAATGGGGTGGTTTTTAGTCAGTAAGAGTCTGACACTTCCTCCCGCCTCACCTAGGCGGGACCAGTCATTCGATGATTTTCCACCCTTAAAAAACAAAAAAAAAAGGATTGAGTTTTGGAGGTTTGGAAATCGGTGAACCAGGATTAGGGATGGGGAGGAAGGATTGGGCCTATGATAAATGTGATTAAACCTCTTTTATTGTCACCAGGTTAGCAGAATATTGCGGTTCTGTAGCCAACTCAGTGACGACAAAGGACCGCAATGGTAACGTCATGTACGTGAGGCTGTACGTCGCGAAGGACGCTCGGAAGGACACATCCTTCAAGGCCACTTTCAACGCGTATAGGACTTTGGATGCTAATAGTGATGGTAAGTGAAGTTATAATATATAGGGAAAATTGTGTTAGACTGCCTTATTGGCAGATTAGTCGCCATTGACTCCTGAACAAGGCCACCGAGATCAATTCCCAGATTGGCCAAAAAAGATGTGGGGATTTTCAAGTTTTCCTAAAATTTATCAGCCGTAACATGGAGTTTGGAATTGTGTCCGGTACATGGTAATACGCTCAAGCTTCATTACATGGGATTCATAACATAATTCTGGTGAAAAGTGGGTTCCATTTAAGTACGGTAAAAACACTTTAAAATTCCAACAGTGATAAAAACATTAAGAATTTCTCTCCTCAGATAAATGTGGCGATGACGAATTCGACTGTGAAGACAATACTTGCATTGACCTTCGTCTTAGATGTGATCATGATGCTCACTGCCGGCTGAAAGCTGATGAGGACAAGAGCAGATGTGATGTAAGTACTCCAGCAGAATCCGTATAGATTTTAAAGCAGAGAGTTAAAAATGACTGCCTCGTTGGCCGAGTGGTCGTAAGTGTCGGGTTCGATGCCCGGGTCGGGCAAAGTAATACTGAGTTTTATTAATACTCAGTAGTAGCACGGAGTCTGGAATTGTGTCCGGTATATGGCAATAGGCTCACCCCCTATTACACGGTTATATCATAACATAAATAGTGAAAAGTTGGTGTTACATTGTGCAGTGCCATAATGTACACCTCTGTCGCCTGTCGGGGGTAAAAGGCGTGATGTTATGTTATGTAAAGTTAAAAATACTGTCTTCTTTGCCTTCTTGATTACATTTACATTTGATTAAAGATATCAAAAGAGTGTCATTATAGGATCGAACAAAAAATTCGTCGAAAAACGAATCATCAAAATATAGAATTAAAGTTCTTTTTCCCTTACCCCTTCGAGTTACTTACATCTTTATTCTTCTACAGGTGAAACAAGAGTCTACAATCAACCAGCCTCACATCATGGTAATTCTGATCATCTTCTCCCTGATCCTGTCCGGAATGAGCTTCGTCTTTATCTTCAAATGCATGAGGAAGTTATACCAGGATCATAAGATTATCAAGGTTAGTGAAATATTCAGAATTTTTTCAAAGAAGATTGATAAGTCGTATTTTTTATATGAATCTAGGTTTAAGTTCTGCTACCCAGTTTATAATTAAATGTTTATTTTGTCATAATTATATTTATAAATAAACATTACAACTTAAAATATTTCGACTGCACGGTTGGTGCGGTGGCTGGGCAACCGGCTGCCGTCCAACGTGTCGCGGGTTCGATTCCCGCACGAAACAACACTTTGTGTGATCCACAAATTGTTGTTTCGGGTCTGGGTGTCATTGTGTATATGAACTTGTATGTTTGTAAACGCATCCACGACACAGGAGAAAATCCTAAAGTGGGGCAATGTTTTATAAATATAAATATTATTAATAATATTATAGTAATAATAATAAAAATGCTATCTTAAGGCATTAGTAGCTATCCCTTCGATCACCCGAAGTGTCTTAAAATTGCCATTTATTGGACTCGACTACACCAAACACTGAATTTTAAAAATAGAAAAGCTAATACATCTCAATGGAATTGTATGTGCCTATAGTTGATCTCAATAGATTGGCAATTAAGCCAAAACTAAAGATTGAATGTTTCACCAACTATTTGATGAATAAAGTATGTTCTACCAGTAAACCCATTCTCTAAAATGTTCATCAGAGAAAAGGCGTAACGATGATGATAATGGATAAAAATGATAATAAATGATGATTAAATAATTAAAATAACTTTTTTTAATACAGGAGCACATAAGACAATCATGTGAAGATCGCCTGGACAGTTTAGTGGGAAGTCGTCTGACGTTAGACCCCAAGAGACTACAGAGAGACAGTGAGCCTCGAGTGAGTTTAGAAAGAGAAAACCACAATAATGAAATGGTAAAGAAGCAGAGGAGCTTCTCTTCAAAACATAAGGTAAGATAAAATATTGCTTTTATATATATCTTGTTCGTAATAAAGAATAATGATGTTTTAATAAGATGAGTGAGTTTGATAATGTCGTGGTGGCCCGGAGGTTTAAGACGCCCGCTTCTCATGCACGAGGGTGCGGGTTCGAAACCTACCAACGGCAAGTACCAATGTGACTTTTTCCGAGTTATATGTACTTTCTAAGATTATTCAGACACCACTGACAAACGGTGAAGGAAAACATCGTGAGGAAACCTGGGCTTATAATTTCTAATTATAAGTTTGTAATCGCTAACCCGCATTGAGCAGCGTGGTGATTAATGCTCAAACCTTATCCGTGTGAGAAGAGGCTTTGCTCAGCAGTGGGCATTTATAGGCTGTTGATGAATAAGATGAGTATAAAAATATGGCTAACTTCTTGTCTGTTGATAGTTGCGGGTATAATGTGTTTTATACCGGGAGCCGGTGTTTCAACACATAAAAGGTTAATTATATATAGGAATCTGTTCATCTAATAATTTTGCCAGAGTCTGTGTATCCTGAAGGGTGTCTTCAAGGCCTGAGTGAATAGGTTGCTTATGGGACGACGTGCTCCATCGTAGGTCGCATCATCACTTACCACCAAGCGAGATAGTGACCGAACGTTGACCCATCAAATATAAAAATCTGAATATAATAAAAAAATAGAGTAAGAAGAAAAATTAACAAAATTTTTCGAGTTCGAAAACTATTTTTGAAAACGAGCCATAAGACCTTAGCATAGATTTATCCACGTCGTTTTCAATCTAAACACCATACTGGTTAAAACTATTTTACAATAAATACACTAAATTGATAAATAACATGGATAGTCATAGTCATATACATATTTGTAGAGTAAAAGTTTTACAACATAACATCACGCGTTTTATCCCCGAAGGGGTAGGCAGAGGTGCGCATTACGACATTTAATGCCACTGTACAATGTAACACCCAACTTTCACTATTTATGTTATGAGTCCCATGTAATAGGGGGTGAGCCTATTGCCATATACCAGGCACATTTCCAGACTCCGTGCTACTACTGTGTTTTTTACAAACCCAGTAATACGCACTTGCGACCACTCGGCCAATAAGCAGTAAAAGTTCTATTTATTCACTAAACTATCTATAAATACCTGAACGCTATAAACTGAGCTAAGCGCTGCTACGAAAGCTTTTAAAACTAATATGATATAGTATAAGTAAGAGCCTTTAGACACATAATGCATTTTTAACGAAAACTGCATCGTGAAGCAATAATACGTAGTTAACTTTCTTAGAAGATCAATTTTGATGTGCCTATGTTCAGCAGTGGACGAAAATAGGTTGTTGTTACTGATGATGATTACTCGACGGATTAGATGGAGGTGTGCCAGAAATGGAAATATTAATACCCATAGCCCATAGGCTACCCCTTTTTTACATTATCTATTATCTACAATAGTTTTATACTAACTGGGGACTGTCCTTGAGTGCATTTCCATAGTGTATACAGGGATAGTCGTCGGTTTGTGTGTCCATTACATTTAGATTAAAGTTGTCTAAAGGGCTTCTGAACAGTTGGCTTCGGCCCCTCGTACGCCTCCCAAATGACCTGTACCCTGTGGTCCCGTGAATAGTAAAATATTAATATTGATAAAATAGAAATACCTATTAAAAATTTGATTTTAAATAGAATCAAGGTTAGTACGAAACACTGAATGCAGGTTCAGATTATAAAAATATTTTGCTGAGGATTTCTGAAATCATTGTTATCATCTGAGACCTCATACATGATGAGACGGTTACAATTAAATGAGTGAATCCAACAATAAAGTATGAATTTTAAAAGAGCTTACCAAAGTAATTTTGTTACAGCAATCAAGCATAGAATCTGACTACCAGGAGACCCATTTAGACTTAGACGAAGAAATATGGAGAAGAGAAGTAGACAGCATGCCAATAGAGGAAGATGTCTCCATAGAACGAAATGGAAGGGCAAGGAAAAGCGACTTTAGCAGAAAGGAAGAATCAATGAGAAGTAGAACGAAAGAGAGTGAGGACACCAGAGAAAAGAAGGAGATGAAAGAACATAAGAGGGAGATTAGAGATGTGTCGGTTGGAGCGCCAGATACTAAGGAGTCTGGGTGCCAGACAAGAGAGAGTCTGTTCCAAACTGATCCTCCTCCTAGTTCTGATGGTAAGATTTAAGAGATCACGTTGATTTATCGAACCAAAAATCCCTAAAAATTTTTCATACAAAAGTACTCTTTAAACATCAGAAATAAGGTCCATAATGGAGTTAGTGGAGAGTGGTCACTGGTGACCCTTAATGACGTTTTCGGTCCCGTAACGAAAAATGAAATTATTTTTAAATTCCAATCGGAATTATAGACGATATAATCATTTCTGAGTATTTTAAAAACTGATAAACTGTCTTTTTCTCAGCAACCCCCTCTTACAAATACCCGACCGATAGCGACGAGGTAGACGACAGTATTTGTTCTGCCCGTTACATCAAAGTTGGGCGTAACTTCACATCGGAGATGCAAACTTTATTTGTGTTTCCGATTTCTTTCTCGACAAACTTGTTCAGTAGAATGGGGTATTTGCTGCAATTTCGAACCTTTTTGGGCCTTTTAGATCTTTGTTTATTTCACGCTACATATACATAGTTTTAATTATAAAGTACTAGCTTTTACCCGCGGCTTCGCTCGCGTCACAAAAGAATAAAAAATAGCCTATGTGACATATACTAATACACACAGCGCCATCTATACCAATACTTTGGTTTTTCCTCGGGAGTATCATTTTTTTCCGGGTTAAAAAGTACCCTATTATTTAATCCGGACTTCTAACTTTACGTCTGCAAAAATTCAAAGCAATCGGTTGAGTAGTTACGGCGTGAAGGTGGAACAAACAAACAAACAAACTCACTTTCAGATTAGTAAGGATAGTAAGGATAACCTGGGTGTCTTCAAGGCCCGAGTGAATAGGTTGCTTATGGGCAGATGTGCTTCATCGTAGACTGCCTCATCGCTTACCACTAGGTAGTTGTCAAACGTAAGTCCATCAAATATAAAAATAAAATGCCCCGAAATTGATAAAATAATTAAACAATTTCTTACGTATTCAGCAACCATGTGCCTATGTCCTCTTTTCTCATTCTTTACTATTAGAAAGTGTGTGTCATTGATCAGACGTCAGTTTACAAAGCTAATAGAATCTATCCTATTAATTTTCAACCTTAATACTTTTGTGATTAAGTTGGAAATCTATTAAACAAAGCTTCTGTCGGTTCATTTAATATATTAATATCTCATTCTACTTATTCAAGTGACTAAACACGACATTACTTCTTAAAAGAAATTCCAATTATTACCACTTATAAAATCATTCTATCCATTACAGGGTAATTAAATTAATAAATACTAATTTTATTGCAAATAAATTCAATAAAAAAGCCTTGACAAGCACCTATCATCTCTCCATTACTCTCTGTTGAAGTGGCTGGCAGAATGCGTATTACTTTTTTAATATAGCCTCTATCGTGTGACGTCATCATGCCAAGATGGCGGATGTTTCGCGCCAATCGCCATATTAGATTTTTCTGGAGCGTTAAGCGATAGGAAGAGAGATAGTTGTGTTTTTTTAAGATATATTTTATGAACTAGGTATTAAACTGAGGGTAGGCACGGACAGCAACAAAATTATGAACTTTAAGGTTTTCAAAATCGATAAATTGGCAAACATGACAAGCACCTTAAAAGCAAAACAAGAAAATTATTTTTTTCTGGCGCTTGACGTGCATTTAGGTAAAACGCTGTACAGCGACTTTGAAAATCTAAATTTGTTCATCAACCTTTGCCGCTGATCGTAAAAGCACTAGGCTTTTACTAGTACTCATAATTGTAATGTAAGATTTTAAACACTTCTGAGTGCTGATACTATTGAGCCGAATTTAACCAACCATAATACATAGGTTCCTTGGAGGATATAGGACAACACAGAGAACTGGTTTGTAGCTTTTGTCTGTAAGTCACAGCTTGTTTGACTGCACGGTTGGCGCGGTGGCTGGGCAACTGGCTGCCGCGCAACATTTCGATTCCCGCACGGAGCAACTCTTTGTGTGATCCACAAATTGTTGTTCCGGGTCTTGGTGTCATGTGTAAGTGAACTTGTATGTTTGTAAACGCACCCACGACACAGGAGAAAATCATAGTCTAGAGCAACGTTTAAAAAAATAGAAAGAAAAGTCTACGCAAAAACAAATATTAAATCCTGTTAATTTGTTTTAACTCCTAAATTGTTCTCAGGGCCTTAGACTTAACCTTAAAGTCTGTCTGTCTAATCCCATCCTCTCATCATAGGTTCCGGTACCAACAGTCGAGGGTTCTCAACGTTTGGGTACTCCGGAGCCACCATCGTAAGGCCCTCGCCACCAGCCACAACGAACACATCAGAGATCACCATAGAACTACTCAAACAAATACCTTCGCAGGAATCTAAACCATGTGAGTTTCATAATACGACTTAGATTCTTATATCTTTAAAAAGGATTTTTGATTGCTTTAAAGGAGTCTCGGTAAGATTCCCGTGTCGGGCAAAGTACTACTAAGTTTAAAAAAAAAAAAAAAAAGATCTCATTAGTAGCACAGAGTCTGGAATAGGGTAGTTGCCTAAATTTTATTTTAATGTCCGTCTGGTAGATTAATTTAAAACATTAGACACGTATTTTTTAATTTTCTCGCAAAATTAAATACTTTCGACGATATATTCATAACATTTTGTAGCACTTTGTGACGTAACGACCTCCAAGTCCTAAACTTAACTCCATTTTATCTAAGAATTGCAACTTAATACGGACAAATAAAAAAAAAATCGTGTCTTATATTTTTCATTATCTAACTGACGGAATAATTAGACTTTTAACTTTCATTCCCTGGCAACTATCCTATTGTGCCCAATGTGTGGCAAAAGGCTCACCCCCTATTACATAGGACTCAAACATAAATAGTGAAAAGTGGGTATTACATTGTACAGTGGCATTAAGTGCCGTAACGTGCTCATCTGCCTATAAATACAAAGAGCGTAGGTATATAAAAGGCGTTATTTTATATTTAAGAATAAACCAAGTTTGTTCATGTATTGAGCAAATTTCAAACTAAATCTAACTAGATATTGATAAATGGTTGTAAGTCAAGTTTTAATAGATCGCAAAGAAAGTTAGTCCTTTGACGCAAGAACCAAATTAAACAGAAAACGTTTATCCAAGTTAATCTTAAGTTATTACTTAAAGGACCTGAATAATTACTGTTTTAATGAACCCTTTGATTTTACATCTAGAATTTATAATATTTTGTATCCAGGCAGAATTATATGCCTAACAAGGCTGATGCCGATACAGAGCCGCGGAAAACTTAACAGATTGCCAGGGCTCCGGCTCGAAGTGCAGGAGTAAGAACGGGGTGGTTTTTAGTCAGTAAGAGTCTGACACTCCCTCTCGCCTCACCTAGACGGGAGAAGGCATTAGATAATTTTTAACTTAAAAAAAACAGAATTATATATTAGATATCGGTCATCATAACATCAGGCCTTTTATCCCCGAAGGTGTAAGAAGTGCACATTACGGCACTTACTGCCACTGTACAATGTAACACCCTTTTTTCACTATGTATGTTATGAGTCTCATATTAATAGGGGGTGAACCTATTGCCATATACCGGGCTCGATTCCAGGCTCCGTGCTACTACTAAGAATTAAAAAAATCCAGTAATACTTTGCCCGACCCGAGTACCGAACCCGAGAGCTACTCGGCCAACGAGGCAGTGATATTGGTTTGCATAATTATAAAGTGTTATAACTTTCATGAGACATAATTATTTGTTTTTCGGTTTACTCACGAAATTTTATATGACTGTGAGTCCCTAGCGTAGCTTGAAACTAGTCGAGTTCCTCGTCAAACAGTTACGTATTTGAATAAGCCAAAAAGCAAAATACGGTCTTTAACTGATGTTGAGGTAATTTTTAGTCTATTTTTTAAACAAAATCTACTTCTGATTGCGACTTTTGAACTTGTTCCGAATCAAAGTAGTTAAGTAAAATGTAGTTTTTTAACATTTATATCTTCTATTCAGGAACAAAGCAAATCACCAAGGATGTAACATTTAGAGAGTATATTTTTCTTTTGAACTTCTAGGAAACTCCACAAAAACAATAGACAATTGCCATGTCATCGTTACAAAAATATAGAGGCCTATTAAATAACAACGAAACTTTCTAACATCAATATTTTTTTTACAGTGAAGAAAATACCTGACCGCCGTCCGATTAGTACGGAGACTACGCGATCAGCTCCAGACGTCATCATTGTGTCAAAACCGATTCGCTGAGGGTGACCTTTGGGGCCCGCTCCATGGGCCCCAAAACCCCCTGACTCCTGGTACCCCTTAGAGCCCCGTATGAGGCCCGAGGGGTCCTACCAACCGCACACTTGCCACCTTGACACGTTTTCAAAAAGCATGTCTTTTGACAATTGTGATGGTTACTACAGCCAATATTTTGATGAGAGACCAAAACTTATTTATGATTACTGTCTTAAAAGTGATTTTGAGTATAAGAAGGCCCAGACTTTGCCCAGAAACTTGGGGTCTTCAGTGGACTATAAGCCTAAAGTGTACCCGCAAAGGAGTGTGTGTTTTTACGGCCTTGATGACGAAGAGGACTGTCCGAGGCCAAGGAAAACATTTGTAGTGCACGCGGATATCGAACCCCATAGATAACATTTGTGAGGACTTTTATAGCATTTTTTAAATAGATAATAATTATAAAAAATAGAAAGTTTTTTTTCAGTTTGTTAATATAGGATAATGAATTGTAGATTTTTTTTGGGATTGTAGTAATTTTTTTGTTTGATTAATATTACTGGTTCACGAAAGGTTGATAATGCTTTTGGGAGGCTATTCTTCCTGTGCCGAAAAAGGGCCTAAATGGCTGAATCTCTGTTAATGGCTCTCTTGGGAGCCTAAATACAGCCTATCAGAAACGATTTGGATTATGTCCCAAGAGAAAATTATATGAAAATGATAGGTACAGCTGCCAACACATCGAGATATAGAATTTCAATCTTATGCTTTGGGAATATTGTTGAAAATCTATTAACATTTGACATGTTTAGGGTAACTTGATGTGCTGGTGTCTGTACATTTGTTTTGGAGATTGAAATTTTAAAGATATTGAAAGCTTTTTATTGTTTGTTTCATACTTTTGAAGTTTAAATTAATGACTACTATTATTGTTTTTAAAATAAATATACGCACAGCACTATTTATATTGTAATGTTAACGTCTGTTAAATAAATCGTGAAGTTATGTAAATAGAACCAATCAACTGCCAGTGTTTTAAAATTATGAATAAAAATGTAGAGATATTTTGAATGTTAACAAAAATAAATCTGAAATGTATCATCGCGTAGAACTCTTTGAATAAATTATTTGTTTTATTTATTTTTGAGACATGATTTTTTAAAGATTGTAATAGCACACTTTTTTCTGGGTGATCTATTGGTCGGAAGTCATTGCCTAACTTAAGGTTTTACGTTTTGTTAAAACTGCCTGTATATTAAAACTGCATCAATTAACGTTAAACACAAAATTCTACATCAACAATTATTTGCTATTAATACTTATTATTTTCCCGAAGTCTGCAGTTTTAGTCTAGATTCAGGTGCTGATATAATCGTGATCTTCGGATCTGACCCAACTTATTGGTGTTCAGCCCAAATTCCTGGTCTAGACCGAATCGATATAACCTTCCATTAGGGCACCCGCGCAACTGTGAGTGTAGTCCAGGACATTTTCAAAGTGTGTATTTGTAACTTTTATTAAAATAAACTCATGTGTAACTTAAATTTAATGTGTTTTTTCGCATAACTGCCGAGTCGCCCAGAGTAACGATTGGAGTTCGAGTAAAAAGCAGTATGACGATTTCAAAATCTCCAGCTGTTGCCAAATGCCATTTAGCGCTTGTCTACTTGTAGAGTAGAAAACTAAATTATATGGAACCAGCTTTTACCCGCGGCTTCGCTCGCGTCACAAAAGAATAAAAAGTAGCCTATGTGACATATACTAATACACACAGCGCCATCTATACCAATACTTTTGTTTTTCCTCGGGAATATCAATTTTTCCGGGTTAAAAAGTACCCTATTATTTAATCCGGACTTCTAACTTTACGTCTGCAAAAATTCAAAGCAATCGGTTGAGTAGTTACGGCGTGAAGGTGGAACAAACAAACAAATTCACTTTCAGATTTATAATATTAGTAAGGAAGTAAGGATAAGGATTGACCACTTTCAGAATTATAATATTAGTAAGGATTGACGTAAATTTTGACACTTGTCAGTATCATCTCCATACATTTAGTTTCCTACTCTCTCTTTAAACAAGCGCTAAAGTGGCGTTTGGCTAAAGGCACTGATTAAGAAACATGACGTTATTTTACGTTTTACGTGATCATTTGTGTTTCAATGTTTCCGAAATGGAAATTGGAATCGAAAGCATGCTCAAATTGTATGCTTTGTACTGCTTGTACTGGTCACAAACAGATTACAGCAATGGTGGAATGTCCTATTTGAGGCCTAAGGCGTTATGTCCAATATCAGACATGCTTTGCTAGCTACTGAAAATTAATTTAGGTCTAATTTTGGACCAGAATTCATAGGTTGCCTAATCAATTCGATACAAAATATGAAATTTTAAAAAACGATAGGTAAGATGCAAACGCCCGGCTTTCGACTTGTGTAAAATTCATTTTATGTGTTTTTTTATAATATTTTTATGTTATAATTAATGCATTGTTGGTTTGTTTAGATTTTGTTAACCTTCATAATAATGTAAGCATGTCGTCGCACTGTGAAATAAATACTACAGGAATGGTAACGCCTTTTTTCTACAAGTGAAATATATTATGTACAAATAAAACATTAATTTTTCAACTTTTAAAATATCTCTACATTAAAATCTGAATGCAATAAAATTGTGTTAAATTTAATGAAATAAATGAATTAATTTACTTGTTGGAACTTATTATCTAAGATTTGTTAAGTAAAACTTAATTTTAAGATACCTAGTATTTCTTTAAAGTTGTTCGAAATAATTGAATTAGATGAATTCAGAATTCAAATCTTTGAATGTTTAAAATTGTGTTACATTTATTAACTTGAATATAAAGAAATGAAAGATTTTAAATTTTGTTAAAAGAATGAATAACAAAATAGATTTATTTGTATATGGAATAAGATTTTTAAAATTTATGAATGTTTTTTATTTCTTATTCATATTGAAATACCTAAAATAACAAGAGTCTTCCAAAAATAAATTGTTGTATTAAAAAGAAGTACCTATGCTTTCAGAATTGTTCCCTCAACTTTTGCCGAATCTTATTTATAAAGGTGTGTTCACAGTATTCTTTTTATCAAATCGGTAAAATATTCAGATGATTTAACACTTTAACTGCCATGTTTAAAATGGTGAAAGTTAAAACCTCCACTAACGTTAAATGACATGGCAGTCGAGGGGTTAAACATCGAAATTATGTATTATCATATTATTCATTGCCAAATTGATTTTGAATGGAATTAACCAACCGGTCGGGTAATATAGGAACCTTCCATTAACTTGAACTATTGACATTTATTGGAATATAAGTACAAATGTCGCCGCCTACATTCGGCCTTGGGGTCGAGCAGAGTAATATTGTATTTCTAATTCGATCAAACTTCTTAATTACATCGCACTAACTGTAATAGGATCGCCCAGTGATGCAATGAGAATATTATTCCTGTTTTCCTCAACCTCTTATATATTTTAAGAGACCCCTAAGCTAAGATAGGTGACACCTAATGCCATTTTGGTTTTTACCGAGCTATAAGTGGCACCTAACAGTACAAGTAAGGGGTTGGTTTAGATGCTTCGTCATCCTAGGTACCTGTTAGTTAAAAGATCGTTTGGGAGTGGTTGGTGAATGAACAGCTAACAATAACTTAAAAGCGTATATAATGTGGTCTTTAAAAAAAAATGTAATATTACGTTTATTTGTATCAGACAAATGTAACGAAAATGAATAACAAAATTTATTTCAGTTATTCATCTTTAAATACATGTGAACATACTTTTAATAATTCATTAAATATTCAAATGTAAAAATGTAGTTATAACAACTAGCTATTTAGACAAATAAATGAATAGACCAATTCGAATAAATCATATTTTATAAGAATCAATAATTCATAAGTGAAAATAAATGTAAATAACAATAAATGAATAAATGTAGATAAATTCTGATTAGAAAATTATTAGGATTAAATATTGTTGAATAAATTATTTGAACTAATAATGTTATTCGTAATTAAAATCTGACAATATGTTGGTTATTAATTATGTTTTTGGTGTAACTTATATAAAAAAAGTTTATTTAATAGAAAAAAATGGTTTGCAAATTACTAAAATGTAAAAGCTGTAAGAGTTTTATAGAAACATTACCTAATTCGTTTATCAATACTTTAGATTGTTAAAAGTATAAAAATAACATTTTATTTTTATACTAATTTGAATAAATTGTGTTTCTATTTACTCCCTTCTAACATGGGACGTATGACATTACTGCTGAAAAGTGGATGTTACATTATATTCCGGGTGTAAACACAACATTTCCAAAAAACGAACACAGGTCACCTGCTACTTTCATCTCTGCACTGCTTAAAGGTTGACTGGGAGACAATGTCCAAGGCATTAAGTCCACCTGTACACACTTGTTGTATGAAGTTGAAAATAAATAAGATAGGTGATAAATAATCCTATTAAAAACTCCGTTTAAAAATCCCCGCTTTTTCAGAGGTCGATTTATTAATATACTATAACTGTGTAACAAACATAAAACCGCATCGAAATCGGTTCAATCAATCATGAAATAATCGACCTCAAATATACTACATACATACAAGTCAAACAGGACCTTTTTTTGAAGTCGATTAAAGCGAGTTTTATTTCCAAAAAGTAAGAGATTCAAGTTTATTTTATGTTATAATGCTTATAATCAACTGCTCAAGGCTGATGTTTCGTTAATAACATGAAAACGAAAACAAAAACATGAAACGAAGTTTAAAAAAATATATTTATTGATAAAAAGCTTCAGATTACTTTTGTTTGTGGCCCATGACACCTGACAGACTTCCGTGTGTCGTGAAGCCCAGTCTCTTGATCAGTCAATAAATATATTTTTAAACGTTGCCCCACACTAGGATTTTCTCCTGTGTCGTGCGTGCGTTTACAAACATATCACACCCAGACCCGGAACAACAATTTGTGGATCACACAAAGAGTTGTTCCGTGCGGGAATTTGGTACACGTTGCGTGGCAACCCATTGCCCAATCACCGCGCCAACCGTGCAAGCAATTCTGCGCGCGAAAGAGCCATCAGACCACCACAGATGGGGCCCAACAGGGCTGATGCCGATACGGAGCCGCGGAACACTTAACGGGTTGCCGGGGCCCCGGCTCAAAGTGCAGGAGTGGGAACGGGGTGGTTTTTAGTCAGTAAGAGTCTGACACTCCCTCTCGCCTCACCCGGGCGGAAGAAGTCACTGGATGGTTTTCCCCCTCAAAAAAAACCGTGCAAGCAGAAAAACAAGATAAAAAAAATTTAAGGAAAATGAAACAAATTATAACCATATAATACTATATTTTTAATATCTGCGTTTCATTTACACGCTGTATTTGCACCTCTGCATTAAAGTGAGGTTGTATTTTATGTTAAAAATGAGTTTGTATTTTTA